TTTTCAATTACAGTTCTTCTTTTCTAAACTGTTTTTTTTTTACACTTTTTTTTTTTATCTTAGCATGAAACAGGTCACAGTTACAGGAGGTCATATCCTGAAAGTATGTCAGAAAGTGTTTGTTTTGTACTTTAAATGTACAGTTTTTGTATATCCTATTCCGCAAAAGTAAACGGCATGTAGTCACACCACCTTGGGTTGCATGACATCATCATCAACACAAATCCCACTACTTGCACTAAAAAGATGCATTTTTAAATGTCTTGATATCTCTTCCAACAACAAATTTGCTTGTTTTGCAGTTCAATTTAACAGGTCGCAGGTATAAAAGGGTTCACAGACTATTCATGTTGGTTTCATTTTGACATCTCAAAATCTTGGCATTTTATCAGGGGTGTTTAAGCTTTTATATCAAATGAATTGTTGACTTTATCTACATGCTGAGAAGGCCAGCAGCTTTCTTTCCAAATAAAGCTTCACCTTGGGAATAAAAGGCTTTTGAGCAAATGCCTTTTCATAAATCTGGAGTTCAATGAGAACGCTTCTGAAGAAGAAGAAAAGACAATCTTTATTGCTCAAAAAGCTCTAAATATCTACAGTGATTGGGGGACATAACGTAATTGAAGCCACTCAAGCTCCAGCACACACACTTACATGACCTGACCTACCTTTGAGCAATGCAGTGAGGATGGCAAGGTCAATGTCCTGGTGACCCTCAGAGCCCATCCGGAAAACCGTTATCTGAGAGAAAATGAGAAAGACAGTCAGGAATAAACACGAGTAAGTGTCTGTTTTCAGAAGTGCCAATAAGTGTCTTTCCTCTTGAACTATTGTTGCTTCGGCAAGTGCATGAAGGCTTACAGCACAAAGAAAATCCAATCACAATAAGGAAGCCAGTGGAGTGCCTTCCTTTGCTGTATTAGACTCTTTCACTAAAAACACTGCTTCTGATGAAGAGAAGAGGAAAGAAGACAGGAGAGGAGAATTGATTGGGTGTACTGCACAAAACACCGGACTCTTGTACTGTCGCCAGTCTCCACGGAAAAAACATCACAAAGCTGAAACCCAGTCGATTCAATGAGAGGAGGGCATGAGGGGATTTGAGACGAAGGGATCTGAGAAGCTGAAAGAAAAGCGTGGAAAAAAATGGGGGATCAAGTGAATGGGAACTCCTGCTTCTATCCGGCACCAGAAACCATTGTTTCTTATTTGGTGTGTGTGTGTGTGCGTGTGTATTTCTGTAAAAACAAATAATAATAATAATTTCCTCATCATGTACTCCACAGCTACATTTAGCTGGATGATCCACTGATGCCGTGAAGTCACCTGAGAGGGGAAGCTGAGGAATACCCCAGTTTCTCAGGGCTTTTGAAGTCACATTTGTTTGTTACAGTGCTGAGCTGCAACACGGATGCAGGGGCACGTACGCATGCATGCATGTGTGGGCACATGATCCAATGTATGAATGTGTGAAAGGCACCTTGGGGGATCTTTGCATGGAAGAAAGTGTGTGTTCTGAATACCTAATGAGCTATTCCTCTAATCCCTACATCCATCCATCTCCTCCCACCTCCATGCCTGCAGCCCGCCAGCCCCGCCCCCTTTCCTGAATAGCTTCATTTTGTGGAGCTTCAGGAATCTGCAGGCTCTGCGTCTGCGATGGTTGCTTCCCTTTGGGAGATGCTGCAGTGTTGTGGGTTAAGTCTGTGCACACGGAGCAGCAGTCGTCTCATTCATCATTTGTACGCCGTGTGTATGCTGATGGGACGTCGCTTTGTTTTCTGACGGAATAGTGACACTTTGGCACCATAAAACCCAGGTGGTAGAATATGAGGGAGTTTTCATAAGCATGTGTGTGTGTGTGTGTGTGTGTGTGTGTGTGTGTGTCTACACACACAATACAGCATCTCTTTGCTTGAAGTTCAATAGAGATTAGTCCGATTACAGTGGATATGTGTAAGCATAAGTCTTCCCAGTCAAATGATGACTCGCTAGCAAAAACACTGAAATGCTGAGGAGGTCGTTACTACCTCCAGGGAGAGAACTAAAACATACAGGACAGACCCCCCAGTCATAGGTGTTACTCTTAGGTGTTTCTTTGAGGTGTACGGTTAACATTTTGCAGTGAATGGTGCTTTTAGGGGATATTCAGGTGTACTTATGTAGAGTCACCACTGCAAAATAAATAGCCTCGGTGACCAAACCCTTCTACTTCATCACTTTAACTGAATGCAAAAAATTAGAAAAATAGGGATGTGCAGGATCAAGCAAAGTGACAGAGTCCACCCACTCTTTATCGGCCGGCCGTCTGTACTGTGGTTTTGTCACCAGACTTTCTTTCAGAGTTAAAAAATAAAAATTATATAAATTTTATATTTTAAAACCTAGGATTTGCACAACAGGCTGAAATAACAGAACACCTCCCACACCCGACAGAGGCGGCATCCTTGTTTTTGGTGTTTGACGTCGTGAGGTCAACAAGGATGAGCATAAAATCCTCATTAGAATGCCACTTTGCGTCTGTTTTATCTGTCTTGACACATAGCGACTTTTAAAGGTTAAACCATGTGCATATATATCTTTGTAATATTCTTTTGAGATCAAGGGAACAAAAAAAACAAAAAACAAAAGACAGTTTCAGAGGGACATGGTTGCTAGCTTACACTTAATGTTTAAGGGGATTTTTGTTCTTCAATAAGTTTTCATTAATAAAGATTTCTGTTCCGGCTATTTGCCCGTCGTTCCCTGTTGTTTTTATGATAGCATATCAGGGAGTTTCCCTACACACGTTTCCTAAAACACACACACTGGCAGGGTATTATTGGTTGCCTTCAGGACTAGGATGGAATATTGTGCAGCAGAAGAACAATAATTACAGAAGATGTTCACATTTGGGTCTATTTTCAGCTCCCATATATGCCTCTACACAGACACCTCTATTCCCTTTTATTCCTCCGACCATCTGTTGCAGACACTCATCTCACAGCTCCTCCCACGCAACCTTACTATTGGACCGTCCAGTCCTTTGGCTTTTTTCTGTCTTCGTTGTCACTGTTCAGTTTATCCAATTACACCCTGAAGGTGACCCTTCGGGTACGGTTTACCTGTTATCACAGGGGATGTGCAGCATATCCTCTGTGACATTGCAATTGAGCTGCTTTAATCTCGACAGTCCTCCAGAGACTCGCCAATGAAGGCGAGCAAAATGTAAACAGACAGGTTTTCTATCCGCTGTTGTCCGTTTCGTCCGAGACACGGGTGTTGGGTATAGCACTTATTGCAAAACGAGCATATTTACAAATGTGGTGGACAAGAAAAGGTTGCTTCTGTGTTGAACTCGCATGCTTTTTATGTCCACGCTATAATTTCAGTTAAAAACAAACGTGGAGAGATAAAGATACGGTAAATTATCAATAAAATGTGGACGATGAAGTGAGAAGGAGAGAAGAGGAGGTTTGTTTGAAGCAGAAGAGATAAAAGAAGGATGAAGCTTTGACTCTGGACTGGAAAAAAACGGTGCAGTCCTTCTCGTTATGGTGCAGCTTTGTTGGGAAAATTTCTGCATCTTCAGCGTTGGTAATGTACAAAGTTTAAACATGCCACACAGACTGAACATCACACTTGAGCGGTTCGAGCTCGTTATAAAACATTTATCTTCATTTGATAGCCAAAGAGCGTACTGATCTTGCCACACATTCACAGACAACTAATGGCCAACGCCACACGAGCAAAAACACTTTTCCAGTACACTGAGCTCTCCAAATCCTTTCGTGGACAATACTTGAAGAAGGTCAACTCCCACAAATCTCTGGCACTGCATTCATGTTGAGAACATAAGTGTAAAACATTAAAAACTACTTGTCTATTTGTTATGGGGAAAATGCTAAGCGGTCGAGATTTTTTTTCTACTGCACAGTAAACAGAGGGATGCTCCCCTGCCGATAATGGTTTTGTTCTGTCCTTGCATCTCTGTTTGTGTCTTTATCTCTGCGCTGTAGCTCTTTTTTTTTTTTTTTCACTTTTCCTTCTTCCTCCAGCTCGCAGTCCATTTAAGTCACTCCTACTTTCCTTAATGTTCCTCGAACTCCTTCCTAGTTTCTCTTGTCAGGAAGGTTGAGGAACACCGTGGGCTGGAGAGTTCTATTCAATATTTAATCCAAATTAAACATATAAGGATGATTCTATGTTAAATTATTTATAGCGCACTCTGAGATGCCAACATGGCCATCTTGTGCTCTCCACCCCCCACCACTCATAAGGCAGGGGAGCGGGTGAAGAGAGGCGTCAATAGTCCAATAATTGGACAAAAAAAAAATTGGCTTCCTACATTTTTGGCAGCAGCAGTTGACTGGTAATGCTAAAGGGAGCCCAGTCTTGCAGGCCTGTTTATGCTACCTTTTGCAATGAGGATGGAAATGAAATGTGCCTATGCAGAAACATATTTTTTCCTTAATAATCAGCAAAATAGCAGAAAAAAAAATACAAGTGCTTCACAATTACATTTCCTGTGGAGGTTTTTCTCATCCCTGAGAGAATGTGTAGTTATTTTCCCATGTCACTTCTTAAACAATGCAAAAATATATGTATTTACTACTGGAAGTCTGCCAAATGAAAACCTTATTGGTTGCGCAGGTAATAATGAATATCTGGAGCTACAAAGAGCAATTTGAAGCAAATTCGCTGGAGGGGACAATACACCCCGTCTTCCCTCGGAGCACCTTGGGATCCTCCAACCGAACTGGAGGCTGTTGCTGGAGAGAGGGATGTCTAGGGTTACCAGCTTGACCCTTTGTCTCCGTGACTCAACCTCAGATAAGTGGTTTTCAAAGATAAAGTACCCAACTCTTTGCAATACCGTCTGCTGACTTCTCGCACGCCAATAAAACACACACACACACACAAGTCCATTTTCTTTTTCAATATCAGTTTGGATGGTAGCTATTTTTGTCGATATCTGACTTTTAGTGTTCATTTTCAATGTGACAGTGGTAACACTCTTGTTAGTTCACACACAGACAGTATCGGATCATCTGAACTTCACAGCTGCGACTGGCGAATGATTCACGCTCTGCTGTTCCGCTGCTCTTGTCGTTCAGAGGCTCTGTCAGTGTGAGCATCAGTCACTTGTTGGAATCCCGCAGAGGGTGAAATCAGTCCATTTACATGCTGCACAGCTATGACCAATTCAGGGCAACACAGAAAAGACTGTCTGTGAAAATGCATGTGTGCCTATTTCATATGCTTTGTTTCTGACCTTGTAGGATAGTGCTATTATAAAAGCAGAAGCACAAAAGAGAAGCGATGACTTAAAATGAATAACAGTGAAGGCTATTACTCTAATGCCTCTTTAAATGCTTGTCTTGTGGTTTTAGTGGCTCTGCAGGACTCCTGCTTTGCAATTTTGCAAAGAGTTAGATTTTAAGAAAATGCTGAGGTATGTGTATTTGCAGTTTATTAACAGGTAAATGACTAAATCAGTTGGGAAGTCCCCAAGCTGGCAGATATTTCCTCTATTTCTAAACACTTGGCTTAAATCAAGCTTGTGCGAAAGCAAAAACCAAACAAACAAACAAACAAAAAAAAAAGCAGCAAATACGCTAATATTGCTGCAGAGTGAAGACACAGTAAATGCTGCAGGCATTTTATACACCATAAAAAAAACATCACGCTATTATCTGTGCAAGAACAATGGTGCATGTGGGTGTGTTAGAAAAATATACAGTACCGCAGTGTGCTGGTTCAGCAGTAGCACGCCAAGACAAAACACAATCATGTTTCAGGTGCTTTACAGGAGATAACGTTGATTCTGCTCTTTCTTTTTTTTTTTTTTTTTTTTGGTGGGAGGTTGCTCACGTGAGCAGAGGAAGAAATGAAGAACTTCATCCACATCACGGGAAGGCCAAACATGCTTCTTCTTACGATTTCTTGTGATCAACATAATGAAACGCAACAAAAGGAAATCACATCAAATATCTTATGAATTAACAAAATAAATGTTGATTTGTTTTGCACACTTAAAGCTTCTAAGTACAAGATTTTTAGAAGTATTCATTTAAAGGTGATGAGGTTTCTTTTTCTTTTTCTCTCTGAATTAAAACAAAATTGACCGCAGTACAATCTAAAACATGCCAGACACCAACCCGCACCTGGTATAATACATATCCTAAGTAGATGACCGACATGACCACACTCGGCGTGTAACATGACCTGTGTTTTGAGGTAAACACTGCCAAAGGGATACAAGGTACAGGGCAGCAAATGTCATCTGAATACATCTGCATCTGCTTAACATACTTAAAGGACAAAATAATATCTGTTGTAATCCAAGTTTTACGATAAGGAAGCTTCATTTGTGCGGCGCGTTGCCACATTTATCCAGCAAACACCACAGTGTTAAGGGACAATGCCGTTTGCAGGTTAATGATGTGTGCGACGGCCTGACGTGTGTCAGACTTTGTGTTTTATTATTCCATCTAAGCACAGCCCGTTTAACTGGTTTTTACTGCATCTGCAGGCATGAATATGTATGAGCAGAGGTGCTGTAATTGTGTCTGTAATGAGCTGGGTTTTGCATGTAGTCAAATATAAAGAGCCCAAGTGGAAAGGAAAATGACTAACCAGTTCCTTCTTCTTCATGCACTCCATGAGGATGATGAACAGATGTTGGGCCTGTGTGCGGCTGTATGTGAAGGTCTTCTGGATGGTCACCAGCAGCTGGTCTCTAAGAGACTCATTAATTATGCTGTAAAGAGAGGAAGGAGCGGGAGAAGAGGGAAAACGTGAAAGAACAAAGTCAGATCGACAGCGCGAGGAAAACAAGAATATTAAATCTAATTATTGCTAAATAAAACCAAGGTTGACTGGGACGCTCGAGTCCAACGTGAGATGTTAAACAAACTAAATATAGGAAGCTGTTGTAGCTGTGGTGGGTGAATTTCTAACTATATTACTGTAACGTGTGCAGATGTGAGTGCATACCCTCCCTCCTCTGAGTATTTGTGTCCAAAGGCCAAGATGTCTGAGGCTCTCCCGCTGCCATCACACACCACCACAGGGACCGGAGGAGTGTCCCTGAGGTACTCCAGCACAATGGAGATCACATTAGGGCCTCCCTCCACGATAAGAGCCACCACTGGTACGCCCTGGCCGATCCCTGCACAGGAGAGGCGAGAGGCGAGGAGTAAATTTTAGGAAAGGAAGAACAGACAGAAACACACACGGGGGGAATACGAAGATGAAAATAGAAAGACGTCACTTCTTCTGCCAGATTGAACCAGTTTTCAGAAAAACCTAATAATTTATGATCAACACGATTAAAAAAAACAAACACTCATTTATTCTATCAAAACACTTTGTCATTACAGTAGAAAGTTTTTCAGAAACACTTTGTCATATTCATCCATAAGGAGACACATGTGCAACAACAATAATACACATTTTTGTTGTATTAGCAATATTTTTAATAGAAAATACTCACAGACACTAATGTCCAAGAGCAGTCGGATCATGTTGCGGTAGCACTAAACACAGCCGTGAACTGAGGGAACTCGGATCCCCTTTGGAACCATTTTTTTTTTCTGTATTAGTTTAACAGTCTGAACACATTCCACCCTGAGACAGTGAAGGGCCATCCACTGAAATAACACGACTCCCCTCAATGTCTCCCAGCTAAAAGCATTCTATAAACCTTGTTTTATTTTTGTAATTTCCAGCACATAACCAGAATACGAGCTGTAACGTGGTTTACATGCTTACCTACTTAATGAGGCGGTGCGGTGTCATAAAGGTGTGTTGAAAGCTGACAGGTCCAGGCAACAGTAGGATCTTTCTATGCTGTGTCATTTAATCTTCACAGTGTGTGTGTGTGTGTGAGAACTCCCTGAGCTGTGTGATCTCACTCATTATTTAATCCCTTTCGCTTTCCTCTTATTATCTGTCTACCTAAACTACAAAATTAAAACTCATCAGGTGTTTTGGAGCAAATACCCCCCCAAACATGCATATACTGTATAAAGCGAATCATAACTTTTCCGATCTCTATTTAACCTGAATGTAAGATATAATATCTTCTGCTCAAGGACAGAAGGCTAGAAATGTTTCGTTAGAACAGCTCAAATAATACCTTTCAAAGAGAAATCAAAACTGGCTTGAATCCGTACACGTCAAAGCTTTACATAGCTGAAAATAATGTTTTCAAGGGCACAGAAAATAATCAGTTCATGAGTTAAATTAAAACTTAGTGCATTAAAAACATGCGTAATTTTGATATGAAGGGTTTTGCCGAAAGCTGTTCCTAACCTTAACCTCCAGTCTGTAGTTGAATTGTCATTACCCCAGTGAAAGTCCCAAAACGCATGCAAACAATTAGGTTTATTTCTGTCACTCCCTTCAAGGGACTCAGTGGGTTCACTTCTTTAAGCCATATCCCCAACATCTTGCTCCTTCCATTTTCTGATCAAATTTTCCCCTCCACATCCATCCACTCCTACCCCTTTCTGCTTCGCATGGTGCTTGTGTTTTATGCTGCTGGTTTGTCTCTTCTAATTCAAAAGCCATGTCACTGCCTCATCTTCCCCTTATGCACTCTCGTCCTCGTCTGCATAATTCACAGAAGAGAGGAAGCACCAGCGCACAAATCCATGCCTACTGTATGCACACACTGGGGCATGCAAGCACTCCTTTTCGGGATTGCACCCACGAATGTGCAGCGCCTCGCGCAGCCTTGTGTGGCCTTGCAACAGGGACAGTTACATAAGGAGAATATTTTAGGGGTCTTGCCTACTTCAAAGAGATACCGCGTCACTGTGCCATGCCACATCACACAGCCGTACATCAACGGGGCAGAATGCGAAAGAGCGGCAAAGTGGTGACTTGCGTTTTCCAAAAAAAACGATTTCCCATTTCCTTTGGATGTCTGCTTGTCCTGTTCTTTCCTGCATACGTGTTTGCATGCGAGGTTGCAGCTGCGCGAGATCAAACATTGATATTGATATTGATGACTTTGGAGCTTTGGAGGCGATGTTGTAGTAGCTAAAGTGGATTTTTGTTCAACTGAAACCCACCGAGGAGCAGATGAGGAGGAGAAAGCACAGCTGTGTCATGGTTAATTGGGAAAAGGAAACTCTGCCTGTGTGCACGCAAACACACACACACACACACACACACACACACACACACACATACACACACACGCGCAGAGATGAGCAAATTTACAGTCATACAAATACTGAAAAACACTCAATTTAAAGCTTTTGCAATACTTTCAGTAGAAGCCACCTTTTAATTAATAACCACAAGCTTCATAATTTAATTATCTTTGTAGAACATTAGACATTTTCATTAAATGATATCAGAAAAACACAGAAAAGCGAATGATTGTTTTTGTGAGCCATATTGCCGCACTTCTCAAACTTGACTGAACCTGATTCGCTGCGTGCCAGCTGCTCATTGCTCAAGCATTGTTCTGCTCTAAAAAAAGCATGAAAGTGTTTTCCAAATCTCATCCGCTTCATAACTTAACATCCTCAGGAAAGCCTTAATTCACACAAAAAAACAAACTGGTTACAAATTAAATCTTGGTCAAAGTCTAGCCTGCTCAAAACTGTTTGTGCTTAGCAATATTTTCAAAGACACTCTAGAGTCCAGTGGGTATTACAGTCAAAAGCAAGTTTGATTGATTCAGAGAAAAACAAACCAATTACAGTAAGTTCTCAGATTTGGAAAGCACAAAGAGTCCAGTGAGACTTTTTATGCTGGTTCGCTTGTAAACGACTGATTTAACTGAAAGGGTCATTGATTGTGAAACTAAATTTTCTTCAAGTTAAAGTTTTGCCTTACATGGGCAGATGCAGGTTTCTGTTAGATATTATTGTGGTATAAAAGGAGAAGATCATACGCTGATCTTCCCTGCCCATAAAGCTTTACTTTATCTGGTTGGATTTCACTCACAACAGTGAGAAACTGATGCCAGATGTCAGATTTGCTTTGTAGAAAAGATTTGGTTTAATATTCTACCTTGGCCCCTCCCAAGGTTCTAATTTTCTTTGTGAGAAAAACCATTTGACACTGAATTAATTATTTGCTTTTGACAGTAACTCTCCCACATTTACCGACTATTAAATATGCAATAATGAAGTGTTACTTCCCGGATAAGGATGTTTTTGTGTGCAGTGACATATACGGTGTTCTGCACTAGGATCCTCCTTCTAAGTAATTGGTTGCGACACAAAAATATTCAAGCCAATCATCAATCAGCAGCAGACACAAAGGAGTGCACTGCTGAACCATTTGGCCCCATAGCAACAATTGTTTGTTGTAAAGGGATGGACATCTATTGTAAAGTTCTTGTGATCTGAATATTTGGTCACATTGGTTTATAGGAAAGAGCTGCCAATTTGTTTATTTCAAAAAGATTTCGTATTTAGGTGATTATTAAGAGGGTTGAGATATGTGTTTTTTTTTTGTTTGTTGTTTTTTTTTGAGGCTTGACAAGATAAAAAAAATTGAGTTTACTTTGGGGTCTTTTATTTGTTTTGTTGGCCTGAGAAACTAAATCCCAATGTATTTTCAAACAGAAGATAAGCAGCAAATGAATGGCCTAAAGGCAGATAAAACATTTCAGATAGCCGTGCCTCATTATCTCACCATCTAGACTTATATTAGTCCCTATTTCCTCTAGAACAGCTAAGGTGCGTAATTACAGCGGAGAAAGAAATTGTTAAACAACTAATCTAGTTATGGTACGAAGCTACCGAGGGCTTTTTGTCGTTTCGACTCATTATTGTTCAAGGTGTTATTGTTCTGCATCTGCTAACAGAAGGTCTCATCTTTCTTTATGTCTCACTCTCAAAAGCAATCCCCAGACATATAAGGCTTCTTTGTAAAGTGTTGAGAATTTATGGCCAAGTGCTGCTGTGGATGATTAGCATCTCCCATGGTGGCAATGAATACAGATTGCCTAAACACAGCAGTCCACGACTGCCAACAACAAATTTAGCTTTCAGAAATATTATTTCCCAAATGTATTAACAGCCTAACAGACTGTACGCTGTGATGCCGATGAGGATTTTTACCAAAGAAATCTGACAAAACAGAGATATTGGCGTGAGTCAAGATGTTTTCGCCATTTGAATGTCTGATGAAGTAACCTAAAAAACTACATATATCTTTTTTTGTCTAACAGTACCTTGTTTTGTGTCAAAGTGATTGTGTAAAAATAATCCTGGATGCAGTTTGTAGACATTGTTGTAGCTTTTATGTTTTTGTTTGTTGGAAATAGACTTATATGAAGTGTTTTGGTTGTGTTCATAATTTCTGAGCAGCATGGCAGAGCAGGGGTTAGCGCTGTCGTCTCACGATATTGAGGTCAAGAAGTCCTGGTTTTTTAGGCCTTGGCTGGAGGCTTTCTGTGTGGAGTTGCCACGCTCTCCACATGGATCCACGGGTTTTCTGCAGGTACTCTGGCTAGTTTCCATGAGGAGATTTTCTAGCTCTGAATTCCCCTTAAGTGAAAGTGTTTCCATGAATAGTCACTCACTCTCTGTGATGGACTGGATCTGTCCAGAAAGTAAACTGCCTCTTGGCCAATGACTGACCAGAGATGCTCCAGCTGTCCCCTTTTCTTTTCCACTCAGCCCAGAAAGCTGAGACTAAAATTGTCTAAATAAATTCATGAAATAATAGACTTGGGAAGAGCTTTAGTTCTGTAAGAAATGTGCTGTATATAACCAAAAGTGAGTCAATTGTGAAAAATGAACACACATGCAGTTACCGTATTTTCCGCACTATAAGGCGCACCTAAAAACCTTCAATTTCCTCAAAAGCCGACAGTGCGCCTTATAATCCTGTGCACCTTATATATGGACCAATATTGAGCCACAACGGAAGAGGGACAGAGACAGTTAATCTGTGTTACCCAGAAAGCAGTTGGGCGCAATATCGCAACAGCAACAGCAACACCAACACCGTGAGTGAAACAATGACTGGGGCAGGCTACTATATAAAGTACTTGGGGACCACTTTTTTGTTATTACACGTATTTGTAGGATATAGGTTCAAATACGGGACGAGTGGCAACCGTAACTGTATCGTCTCTTCTATGCTCCTTATATATGAAAAAAGTTATAAAATACGCCATTCATTGAAGGTGCGGTA